CCCCCCCCCATTTCAAAATGGATTTGCGCGCCTGCCCTGCCGGACACACTAAATACTAAATACCGTATTTCTGAAGCCGCGTATTTTATAGACTGGTCCGCGCTCGACAGTTCCAGTGGAACTGTCGAGCGCGGACCAGTCTACGTATTTTATCGGCAGTTGGTGCGCATTGCATTGTTTATTTCGCATTGTTNCAGAAGAGATACTACAAACACCGCAGTCAAATCTTTCTAACAGACAGTCAACAAATCCATGTTTAACCCTCCTCTTGAGGTAGGGGGAGGGGGAGGGTAGGGGGAGGGGTGGGAGAGGGTGGGGGAGGGGGAAGGGGGAGGGTGGGGGAGGGGATTCTACTAGCAAAAGCAGTTCAGTCCTTTGTTGACAGTGGATAACCTTTTGACCCTCAAGAGGAGGGTTAAACATGGATTTGTTCGACACTAACGACTTACTCTTNTGCAACACAAAAGTACGCTAAAAAAACAATATATATATCATATATATATAAAATAACTATATGCCGCGTTCACACGTAGCAAGAAGTCCGAGTATTTAGCGTTCACACGAGGCAAAATGCGCAGTCCAAGAAATACGGTATTTGATGTAAATACGCGGCTTACCCAGACCGCAATAATTTGCCGTGCTTGAGAAATGCGGATCTCTTGGACCGCGCATTTCCTCGTGTGAAGCGCTAAATACCAGATTTCTGAACAGCCGCGACTTTATAGACTGGTCCGCGCTCGGACAGTTCCAGTGTAACGCGAGTGGAACTGTCGAGGGCGCGGACCAGTCTACGTATTTTATCGGCAGTTGGTGCGCATTGCATTGTTATTTCGCATTGTTGCGCTGCATTGTTTAAAGCAGCTCCGACGCAGCTCGCAAATACCGTATTTCTGGAGCCGCGAATCAGCGTGTGAACGCGTCGTGCCGGCGTATTTGTCTCAGATTCGGTATTTCGCAAAATCTGGTATTTCAGAAATACGAGGTCTCGTGTGAACGAGGCCTATATATATACTTATGTGTCAGTAGCCTCGTTCCACACGAGACTCGTATTTATGAAATACTGGTATTTGTAGATACCGAATCTGAGATAAAAGCGGCCGAGCGTTCACACGCTGATTCGCGGCTCCAGAAATGACAGTATTTGCGAGCTGCGAGCTGCGATCGAGGCTGCTTTAAACAATCAAGCAACAATGCAAAATAAACAATGCAATGCGCACCAACTGCCGATAAAATACGTAGACTGGTCCGCGCTCGACAGTTTCACTCGCGATTACACTGGAACTGTCGAGCAGTCTATAAAATACGCGGCTTCCGAAATCCGGTATTTAGCGTTCACACGAGGAAATGCGCGTCCAAGAAATCCGGTATTTCTCAAGCATGGCAATATTCGGTGCCGTCTGGAAGCCTCGTATTTACATGAAATACCGGATCTGTTTAGATACAGTAGATACCGTATTTCTTGGGCCTCGTATTTTGCCTCGTGTAAACGCTAAATACCGGATTTCTTGCTACGTGTGAACGCGGCTAACAAGTGAAAGAGAGTAGAGAAAACATTAAGACTTTGGTAGTAAATATATTTCGTATTTATTTAGCATTATATTTTATTGAAACGCTCCAAGTGCCTGTGAAGACGGCTTGGAGTAAGTCTCGATTTTCATGCTTTTCATGCAACCTTCATAATTTTTTCCTAAACCGGACTTACTGGATTTCTGGTATTTCCTGTACATCCAACATTTCTCAATAAACACATATCACACAGTGTCATGTCATAAAATACTACAAAGTACTGTACACTATACCAGGGATAGAAATAGGAGTCGCAGAAAAATGATCACCCCCCCTTTGTTTCACAAAATCGACCCCTGGAACTGTCAAATCCGCCGATTCGCGGAAAAATCTTATCCCTGAGTCAGTATGTATGCGTGTACGTGTGCGTTTATGTGTGTGCGCGCCCGTGTGTGTAAATGTGGTATGTGCGCGCGCATGGCCGTATGTGTGTGCGTGCACGCGTGTGTGATGTGTGCGCGCGTGTGCAAATATTTAACAACGGAAGATGTAACCCTGGCCGCCGCCGTCCAGACTTTCAAGAAATTATATCTTCAAAACTACTCGATGCATTTTTCTTTTCTTTTTTAAGAATTTGACTTATTATTGATGCTTCTAACCAGAATGATATTTTTACAAATATCTAAATAAGTCAAATTGTACTATGAAATCACCCAATTTCCCTTTTTGTGTGTGAAAAATTGCATGTCATTTCAAGGTAAAATTTTTAGATTTTATATATATTTAGATACAATTTTTTTTAAACAAATATTTGTATATGACTCGAGTCTAAATATCAGTAATTTTCGTTTACTGTAAATACATCCTCAAATAAAAGCGAGAGATAAATGGTTAAACCGCCATCCTCAACACCACTCGAACCCATCTGGAGGACGGATAATAGCTAGTATACTATATATTGGCTGAATTTATACAGCAATATAACTTTGTATAAATCGTATAAATGTTGCCATTATTGTTATGTTATGTACATATTGTATACATAGTATAAGTTACGTTTTTATGTATGCAATGAGAAAAACCAAAACAAACATGTGCATTACGTTAGCAATTTTTCTCTGACGTATACCCTGGCACGGGTGACTTCCATTTATACATATTAGTGCATACAAATACATTTATTGAACGACCACGTTATGTCCTCTCTTCGTTCCATCCTTATGTCCTCTCTTCATTCCTCGCAGTACCGGGCCCTGCTTACGCGTACGCAAGCAAAATAAAAAGGAAGAGCTGATGGCGCAAGATTCTAGAACACAATATACGCGTTCCATGGATATGCCAAAACTCTTCTAAAACATCTCACGACGTCACGCAAACCATGCGGGCAAATCGAGGCAGCCTCGCATGTAACAAGGACCAGCAGTCGGTTGCCAGAACGCAGCATGACTACGGGCTACAAAGAAATCTCGCCGATCTATTGGCCGTCTACTGTGACTCACTACGATTAGAGTATATCATCTATATGAAGCGAATCCCGACTACGAGTGACTTTCTCTTCTTACCACTTACCCATTACCAGTGACACACTGCGGACACGAATCGCCGAGAGATGGCGATAAATACAGCACATCTAATTTGGCACTACTTATTATTTGTATTACACAGCCGTCGCAAATGACGGTATAACGAAGACATTAGTAGTAAATATATTACAGTACTAAATTACCTCGGCTTCGGATATAAGACAAATTTATCGTTTTCAATACATTTATGTACACAATACATATTATTAAAGGATGACATGTTAATTTTTATATGGCAACAAAATCCAACACGAGAAATGTTTCAACAAATTACATTTAAACCTGTACATACGTGCAATTTTCACTGCACTCAAGAATATATCTAATACGTTTTTAAAAGTTGAAATCTATGCGAAATTATGTACGTTCTTTGAGTATATTTCACATTTAACCACGCCAAATACTAAGTTTAATCAGATGGAAATAGCGAAAACCTGTCGTTTCTGTGCTACACTTCGATAACTATAATGTAGTGTATTACAGTTGTTGACATGTAATGTGAAAGTAAACAGTGGTAGTGCGAGCATTGTACAATGGAACATCTCAATTACCCGTTAGCCGTTACAGACAACAGTCGATATAACTGTATCTATAAAAAGCTCATTAAACGACAATACATAACTTGCTTTACTATGCAATTAAACTGATGTTGCCAGAACAAGAAGGTACAAAAGCTGTCACTCTGTAAGTTATCAGTTCTATGCCACTGATCTAGAAAAAATTATAAGAAAATGTCACTGCCCTGTCCATTTATGCGTGACGTACAAATACGAATAACAAAGTTAGCTACAAATATCAGTATAGTAGCTACTAATCACAGTGTTAAACAGCCACTCCACACATATCAACTTAGAAAGCGCATTGAATCAATGCATGACAACCGAAGAATGCATTTTCATCAATTTTTTTTTCCGAATTTTGATTACAATATTGATTTGTGAATCGAGGACGAAAGGGGGTGGGGGATGAACAGCTTCCTGCTGCATACATACTACTCATACCAGAACACAAATGTCTTTTTTTGTTCAACAAATACACTACAGGCCACAATGTATAAAATGTTTTTATGGGTTGCCGAGATCTGGCCAAGGAACATTGTCTGGACCTGCCCCATGATTCCCGACGTAAAAGTGTGAACCCGTGTAAATTAATATTTTTCCTTAATGACCATATACCCAGGGGGAATTGTCAGAAACGTCCTAAATAGTCATCACTGTCATAAACCTAAAATTTCATAACTTTTGCACAACACCTCGTTCCAAAAGTTATGGCATTTTAGATTAATGATGTCCCAACTATTTACAATGTTCCTGACAAAAAACTGATTCCCATGAATAAAAATTGTGTCACTTCATATAGATTCTATCAATATGACAAGAGGATTCCAATAACTTCAATACCAATCCCGGGGGGGCACTCCCATTGTTAAGGGTACTGGGGACGTGCCGCTGGACAGGGTACATTTTCCGAACATCATTATTGGCACAGGGTATATTTTCTGAATATCATTATTGGCACAGGGTTATCTAGATAACCACCCGTCAAGCTGATATTGGCCTAATATTGGCCCAATATCACCAGGCCAATATTGGTTCAATATAGGCAGATGGTCCAATATCGACCCAATATTGGCAAAACAATATTGAGGCCGATATTGGACCAATATCTGCCTATATTGACAGGACAGGACATAACCGAAGTGTGCAATATTGCAACAGGGTATACTTTTTAGTGCAGTATATTTGGACAGGGTGTATTTTAGGGCGCAAAGCGGTTTGCGACAGGGTCAGGTTTTCAAGTTCCCCGAGGCACCCCCTTACCCAGTTCCGAGGCGAGCGCCCCCCCCCACCGGGATACCAAAGCAGTCTTGCATGCAGGCCAATGCATGAAATGAAAATGAAAACAAGTAAATTATTCAGAACAGTTTATAAGACATCATTATATACACATCAATATACATATGTAGGACGATACTGTACATACTATTATAGTAGCATATTTTGGGTTCAAATCCCACTCCTTACTATTGATGTATATTGGAGCCGAGTTTGACGTTTGCTGTTGTCATGTGCTGCCACTTTATAGAAAATTGTGAAAACTGCTCATGCTCATAAAACTATCATTAGATTCATACCAGATGCTCAGTTGAACGCTCCAATAAAGGATTTATAAAGAATATTTTCAACATTTTTTGGTTCCACTATGTACGATGCACATTTGTCATTGCGAAAACCTTTATGCAAAAGCAACATACACTAAAACCTGACTAAATCAATAAGCTGTCTAGAAGTTGAGCCTTTATTCAACATCTCCATTTCACTTAACTGCTTGGAGACGCAACCTCTAAAAATGTCCTGTTTCTACCGACTTGGTCAGTGTCTGATGGTCCCAGACTAGTCTCAGTGATGGGCTTAGACCAGCTTTTCCCACAATACCACAGGCAGTAACAGTGATGGGCCCAGACCAGTTTACACAGTAACTGTTATGGGCTCAAGCCAGCTTACATAGTAGCAACTAAGGCCCAGACCAGTTTACATTGCAACAGTCATGAGCCCACACCAGCTCATGTAGTACCAGTGATATCGGATGCAGGAAGGATGCAGTGTTGCTGCAGCTGGGCCCTCAACACTGCATTCTCATTCTTTAACTCTTCATACTGTGTCCTCATTAGCTCGAGATCAACCTGAAAGATCAAGAATTAAACTACAGGTCACTGCTATTTCGTGGCATTCAGGAATTGTAATGTAAGCAGCAGGTGATGGCAATACTTAGAGAGAACAAGTGCCGCATAGCGACAGCGCTCATCTAACGTCTACTGCGGTGACTCTGTGGTGGAGTGGTGGGATTCTAGTAAACCCTGTTAGTCCCAAATGTGTTCACATACACGACGAAATAGTGGAATGCACAGAGATGGTATCAGGAACCTTCTCAAAAAGAATGTTCGTTGGGCTCGTTATGAAAGTTGCCACGAGATGGGTGTAGTTTAGTGTCCTTCAGATTAAAGATGGCAAGCCCTGCCCGATCAATTCCGTAGTAGCAACAACTATTTGCAAGACAGACATCTAAGGTAAGCACTCATCCATTTACCTACGCAAGCCTACAGGCTGCAATTGCAATAGAGAGTGCCACTGTCAACCAATTAATGTGCAAGGCAAAAACTGCCCAAGCAAGCATGCACGCGCCACTGGGCAGTGGCATAGTGCACTGTAACATCTGACAGTACGAATGACACAGAAATTATAACGATTTAGGAATATACACCTCTTAACCAAAAATTCTAGCTTTTTTGAAATTTCACTGTGACATTGTAGCCTCATACAATCCCAGGCCATGTATAGATTCTACCTAGCAAACCGGCAGTCAAATTCTTTCTAACAGACAGTCAACAAATCCATGTTTAACCCTCCTCTTGAGGTATGGGGGAGGGGGAGGGTAGGGGAGGGGTGTGGGGGAAGGGGTGGGGAGGGGGTGGGGAGGGGAAGGGGGAGGGTGGGGGGGCAGGGGGCTCCTAATAGGCAAAAGCAGTTCACTCCTTTGTTAACAGTCAACAAACTTCCATGTTTAACCTCCTCTTGAGGGTCAAAAGGTTATCCGACACTTACTCCTTCGCATGTAAGTCAAGAAGGGACATTTCATGGTCCTTTCAATAAAGCCATAAAAATGCTAGGTCACCGCTGAACAAAAAAGTTTTCAATCGCTCGTCAGACCATGTCCTCAGAAAATGTCTAAAATCTGCCCTGTGCCCATTGACCTTTGACCTGTGACCTCCAATTTCGGCACAGTGATGGCTTTTCCTACCATGATGCTATACACTGACTATCACGAGCCTAGTCGAGCCGTTTAGATTTGTGCCGCAATTCTGCATTTCTCCCAATACCTTAAGTTAAGGAGTGAATGTTCCCTTCTTTTTTACACCTCTTGACCTTTGACCTTTGACCCCAGCTTCGACAGCCACAATCGTTTTGACGATCCCCCAATGTGCCGAATATCGTGACCGTACGTCGAGCGGTTAAGATTTGTGCCCAACTGTTGACGCCCGGGACGGACGGACGCACGGACGGACGCACGGACGACCACGGACGATCAAGGCGATTCTACAAGCTGCATCTGACTATTGTCAGATGAGGCTAAAAATCCTGGATTATTTGAATGCACGCTGCTGGGAACTTAATCATTCTTAAGCAGTTAACTGATCCTAGTGATAAAATGTGGTATAAACTATGTCGTGAATATAGTTTAACCTGCAAGCGCTCTGTTTCCTTCAGTCCTTCTCCGCATCCGCAGCATTAGTTGGCTCTTAACTCTTTCGATGTAATCAACGTCTTTGCAAGAATGCCTCCTTTGCTCTGAAATTTACACCAAATAACAAAAAAATAAATATTTTTTTTATCAGCCATAGCAAGTTATGGAATTTTCAAAGATTAATTGAAGTTAGGACACAAGTAAACTCAAAATTCAATGCTCCTTGAACTGCTATAGGAGAGAAATCCTACTGTAAGGCTTACAAATATACTGCATGTGAGAAACGAGATGTCACTTTTCTAAATTTATTTGTAGTAGTTAAACTTCATAAATAAACAGGATTCAAAATAGTTTTACTTGCCTAAAAGATACCAAAACTCCGATTTTAACATTAGTGTATCATCAATGCTTAGCTATGATTTATAGCAACTCATACAGTTCTATAACAAGAAATTATTTTTTAAATGCTATTTGAACAAGTGCCGCATAGCGACAGCGCTCATCTAACGTCTACTGCGGTGACTCTGTGGTGGAGTGGTGGGATTCTAGTAAACCCTGTTAGTCCCAAATGTGTTCACATACACGCGAAATAGTGGAATGCACAGAGATGGTATCAGGAAACCTTCTCAAAAGAATGTTCGTTGGGATCGTTATGAAAGTTGCCACAAGATGGCGTGTACGTTTAAGTGTCTTCAGATTAAAGATGGAAGCTCCCATCATTCGTAGTAGCAACAACTATTTGCAAGACAGAATCTAGGTAAGCACTCATCATTTTACCTACGCAAGCCTACAGGCTGCAAATTGCAATAGAGAGCTGCCACCTGTAACCAATTAATGCAGGCAAAAACTGCCCCAACACATGCACAGCCACTGGCAGTGGCATACGTGACATGTAACATACTGACAGTACAGAATGACATAGAAATTATACGATTTAAGGAATATACACCTTCTTTAACGCAAATTTAGCTTTTGAAATTTCACTGTGACATTGTAGGCCTCATACATCCGAGCATGTATAGATTCTACTAGCAAACCCGGCAGTCAAATTATTTCTAACAGACAGTCAACAATCCATGTTTAACTCCTCCTCTTGAGGTAGGGGAGGGGAGGGTAGGAGGAGGGTGGGGGAAGGGTTGGGGGAGGGGGAAGGGGAGGGTGGGGGGAGGGGGGCTCTAATAGCAAAAGCAGTTTCACTCCTTTGTTACGCAGTCCACAAATCGCATTGTTTAACCCTCTCTTGAGGGTCAAAAGGTTATCCGACACTTACTCTTCGGCATTTCAGCAGAAGGGACATTTCATGTCCTTTCAATAAAGCCATAAAAATGCTAGGTCACCGCTGAAACAAAAAAGTTTTTCAAATCGCTCCGTCAGACCATGTCCTCAGAAAATGTCTAAAATCTGCCCTGTTGCCCATTGACCTTTGACCCTGTGACCTCCAATTTCGGCACAGTGGATGGCTTTTTCCTACCATGATGCTATACACTGACTATCACGGAGCCTAGGTCGAGCCGTTTAGATTTGTGCCGCAATTCTGCATTTCCTCCCTATACGTTAAGTTAAGGAGTGAATGTTCCCCTTCTTTACACCTCTTGACCTTTGACCTTTGACCCCCAGCTTCGACAGCCCAACTCGTTTTGACGATCCCGGCCCCAATGTGCCGAATATCGTGACCGTCGTCTGAGGTTAAGATTTGTGCCCAACTGTTGACGCCCGGACGGACGGACGCACGGACGATCGTGCGATTCTACAAGCTGCATCTGACTATGTCAGATGAGCTAAAAAGTCTCAATTCGTTAACTTTTCCATTCGTTAGGGACACCAAATGCTCATTTAGCACAAAATGTTCATGTTGCCATGTATGAGAAAGCAAGAAAAACTTGTTGCATGTTGCAGTTGCCCTTATTGCTTGCAAACATTAAGTAGTGAGGATTTTCCATTGGTTTAGTGTTAGTTTAACATTTACAATGAATTCTGTTACAATAAAAGTTGAATCGACCAAATAAGCTCGAACCCAAAAGTAATTTGGTGTTGACTAAATAACTATTGCACACGACACCTGCTTCGCATGCATGCATACACAAGCCTGTATTCAGGTGGGTACTCAACACTATCCAAAAGCTGTAATGACAAGTTGGAAGAAGTGCTGGAGAGTCAGCTGGTGGTAGCTTCATGCGAACTGCCTGCCAGGAGCTATCGTGTTGAAAAACCTGTGGTGCTTGAGCACATCCGAAAGTTTCCAGCATACATGTGCCCCTTTACACAAACTAGTGTTTTTAACATATAATGAAATTAAATTCCCTTTATCAAACACAACAATTGAGCATTAAACAACGTAACCAAATGTGTACTTTCAACAGCAAGTACCACAATATGTATGTAAACTCGAGTTATGGTACCCTTTAGCAAATATCATTTCATATGTTTGAGATAATAACTAGTAGAAAAGAAGTATTATGTTGGTATGCAATACGTACATTACCTACCTGTCCCTGCTTACTGTGGTCCTGCTCACAGTCAGGAACAATCTTGGACAGCGCTAGGACCCAGTTGTTGATTTTATCTCGTCGTCGTCGTTCGACTGGGAAAGCAAAGATAAACGTGCGTGTGAACTACAAACCCAGTGCCTGAAATGGACGGTTGCCCACTCGCCACAGGCGACCAATGTCTAGCTCGGGCGACCGAAAATTGCACAAGTCAAGTAGTCACTCGCCCCCCAAAAAAAGTTTGGGCGACTGCCAATATTTCAACACATAAACAAATTTACTGATATGTTTGAGTTGTTCTTTGTTTACTAACTAATCATAATCCTAAACCGAAGTCCACGGTAGGATACAATCAGACCAAGCTCGCGCATTTTCGTTCCGACCGAGCTTGCTGACTGCGGGGTAGACTGGTAGTCTTCGACTCTCCCGCTACACTGCAAACGTACATGTCTAGATGCGTTGTCTGGCTAGGTTGATACAATGTATAACATCACATTTATGTACATGTAATGCTGACCTGAGCCCACCCTGATCGACTACGCTTGCTTATACGCAGAGATGAGAATTTTCTGCGGATCCGCGGAAATCGGCGGATTTCACAGTCCCAGGGTCGATTTTGTGAAACGTCTAAATCAGCTGAGAGAAAATTTTAGGGGGGTTAGAATGTACAAATTTTCATTTTACAGTCCAACCTTCATTCAATATAGACACGGCTTAGTTCACTGTTTGAGATTGTCAGACGTTGGCCAGTGTGTGCATTTATTTGACGCTGCAAGTGTGTGTGTATGTGTGCCGCGCGTGTTACGCAGGCCGTATATAGTACGCGATCAATCGATCGTGTACATCAAAAGCCGCCGCGTCACTCGTGGCCTTGAAACTTGTTTTATGAAGTAGCCGGCCCAAGCTCTGCGACTGTTTCACGTGGTAGAAAACGTAGGTACGAACTGTTTCCCTTCTCGCCAACGAAGTTCTGTTTATAATACATATTACATATATACATAACCATAAAAGGTGGTGTCGCGAGCTGCCTTTTTCGGTGACCTTTGAAAACGATAAAAAAATTAATGTCGCGCGATCGCGCCCTAGCTCCTAGGGTGTTAGGAATATTATATCGTGCGCGCAAGGGAGGATTTTTCGGCAACCTTTGGCGTAGCAAATATAGCGTTTCCTTTCCTGATGTCTGATCACTGTAAGGCTCACAGACTTGCCTTGGCAGCAGGACAAGCTGCTAAAGTTGTTCAATATGATAAAATGTCTACTGTAGTGACCAGAAACAAATTTGAAACTGCCTGGACAATGAACATTTTATATTATATAAAGGTTAGCCTTTGGGACAGTGTGGAAGTGTACATTAAAATAATTTTGTTTGCAGAATGTAAGTAAATTTTTGTATTGATTATTAATTCTAGTGTTATGATAATGACAGTGCAAGATATACTCCCTGCAGTGTACTGTAATATGCTCTGTAACAATTCTGTTCTGTATGTGTCTCCTAATGCAATTTTATGCCTTGTAAGTTGTGAAAATTCAAAAACTTCCTGAACCCCCTGACCAGGCTTTGCCCTGGACCTGACTGCCCCCCCCCCCCGCCGCTGGACCCCGGCTATTTTCAGCTGAAAACACAAATTGTCATTCCCATCCCTGTATACGCATGTATGCTATTCCCGCTGTATAACGCTAGTGTGGCATAGTAATGGATACATTATGCTAGCAGTGAGACCGGTGAGAATCACGGTGCCTAGCTGAGCCCGCTCAGATCGCGCGCACTCGCTCTATGCGCACTCGCTCAGATGCGCTGCTGTATAAAATTTGGGCCTCCAACAATGCATTTGGGCCAGTGACTAAAAAAAATTACTCGCCCCCCAAAAAAATTTGGGGCCAACCTTCGGCTGGCCCCCATTTCAGGCACTGCATACCCAGCTTCAATTTAACAGAAAAACAAATGTTCTGACTGCCTACATCCGGTTTTCCGTGATTAGATATTTCTTTTATTCCGTAAAGTTCTAAAAGTTGTCACAACTGCAAACACACAAAGCACACACTCAAGTGACTCAACGTGACCTGGGCAAAAGCAGTCAGATATCCCAGGGCTCGAATTAACCGACGGCACCGACGGCAGCCCCTATCAATCGCCGTACTGCCCCTGAAAATCCAACCCGACCGACGGCAGTGACTTGCCTTGCCCTTTTCTGTAATTGCCGTCGGTGCCTCTGGCTAGACTGGTTCGCGGCCGCACTGTTTGTCGCAGAGCGTGTACATTGTCTAGCAGAGCGTGAGGCCGGATACCAGTCTAACCTTCGGCAAAAACAATAACGTTGCTTGCTGCCAACCGCTGCCAGTAGACGATCGATAAATCGTGCACCACTGCGCCTGTGTATGCCCGTGGTAGAACACGAATATTTAAATGCTGCACGTGGACTCGGCCCGCGCGCGATTTAAAGAGCGGCAAACGACGCTCGCGCAAGAATGGCCAGCTGTGATCTGTACGGTGTGTAGCTTGCTAAGTGCAGTAAATTTAGAGAAATTTTAGTAGAATTCATACGATGACACAAAGTTGTTATGATTTTTCCTTTATTTTACAAAAGTGCCTTGGTGCCCTTTTCAAATTGTGAGAGTTGCCTTAATGCCTTTTTAAAATTGCCTCGGTGCCCATCCATTTTAGAGAAAATTCAAGGCAATTTCTCACATGCCCCCAAAAAATTGCCTTGCCCCTCTCGTCGCTTAATTCGAGGCCTGAGATATCCGACACATCATACACGTAATTTACATTTACATTCAACATGTCCTTATTTGGGCTCATCGCCAGAATGTTGTTTTTGTGATAAAAAATGTGTTTGCTTAGTCTTGATGAGCACGATCGCAAACAGGGATTATTCATTAACAGCCGATTTAGATTTAGCACACTGGGATTCTACCTTCATTGTGAGTGTGTCGCCTGCGTTCGTCCCTGCCTCCCTGCCGCGTCGAGCCCTCCGTTTTAGCGACGCCGTATGTTGTTCGTGGAGCGATCGTCCTCTGCACGCCCTGCACATCCTGCGGTGACATCATCACGTAAAACTGGCCTGCAACGAGGAACGTTTCGCAGTGAGAACTGAGTGAGAACAGTCAGGGCCTAATCCAAGCCATTTTTCATACCGAATACCGGGGCCCAAATTACGACCCCTAGCAAAATGCCCTAATTACAAAATTCATAAAACGACCAAATTAGCAGAGCTCTGAAAATTGTGAAATTAAATCTCTATGTTTCTATCATTATGTAGGCACTGTTTTATAATAAAATGCTCATATAAGATCTATAATCTATTATCTGAATAAAATTTTAATGTTATTTTACATCTACCTATACCTAAACAATATGCGTTCGCCAAGGGTGCCCAAATTTTTTTTATGCTCACTACGCTCGCTACGCGTGCCCATATTAAGCAGCTAGATTACGCCCTGACGGTGCGAGTGAGCTGGTGTCTCTAATACGAACGACGTGGGTTTTCGCGCTTGTCGTCTGCAAGCAACGTGTGAAGTTGGTATCCCGGTACCTTCTCGCGACGGCCACAGCGCTCGTGTGCACGGTGCAACAGCTACACGTACAGATTCCACGCTCCGCAAATAACTGAGTAACAACCTAGCATGCGAGTGCTGATGGCAATCACAGCAAATGGCAAAGCACTGCTGTTTTATTAACAAGTGCCGCATTAGCGACAGTGCTCATCTGAGGTCTGCTGCTCTACTGCACTGGCCTTCGTTTCTGCAAAAGGTTGAAAGCCTGTTCTATCGCTAAACCGGCTACGTCATCATCAAAACTGTGTAGCATAGGTATTAACACTAAAACTAAACCCTAACAATGCATCCTACTTCATACCTGCTCGACTGTCTTATATATTCGTGTCATAATGTCTATTCGTGTCAATCACTAGGCCTATAGTTGCCGCGAGATGGCGCGTGCAAGTGTAATCAATAATCAAAGATGGCTTCGCCCTTCGTGCATTGGTGATAAGTCAAGAAAGTAGAGATAACCTAATTCCATTGAGTTGCTGAAATTTACAGGCTAAAATCCAAGTATATTCAGGCAGGCAACAATTTCGCTCAGCTGTGAGTAATAAATTAAACACATCTGCATTGCAGGTGTGCATGTTTATTCGAAAAGTGCCAGTTCACCCCCATGCATGAGTAATGGGTTGCCCCGGGTTTTTGCCTACATTTCGGATGACGGTAGCCACGCGAGCATTCAGGGTGCTATTAATATACAGACTGCTTTAGAAAATAATATGATTTAAGGAGTGTAAACCTTGTTCAACAAACTTTTGTCTGCAATTGAACTGCAAATGTAGCCTCACATCCACACAGGTATGGGCTCTAATAATAGCAAAAGCAGTTCAGTCCTTTGTTAACAGTCAACAGATCCATGTTTAACCCTCCTCTTGAGGGTCAAAAGGTTATCAGACACTTACTCTTTGCACGTCAGTGGAAAGCACATTTCATGGTCCTTTCAATAAAGTGATAAAAATGGTAGGTCAGTGCTGAAACTCTGAAAGTTTTTCACTCTGTCCGTTAAGCCATGTCCTAAGAAAATGTCTGATATCTGACCTTACCCCACTGCCTTTTGACCTGTGACTTCGTGACCTGTGAATTTCACACTGGTGATGGGTTTCCTGCCCATCACACTATACACCGAATATTAAGAGCATAGGTCGAGCCGTTCAGATTTGTGCCGCAATTCCGTATTTCTTCCTATACCTTAAGTTAAGGGGGAAATATTCCCCCTCCGTTGACACATCTTCACCTTTGACCCCCCAAATTGGTCATCCCCGAGTCTTTTTCATGACCCCCCCCCCACGTCCCGAATATCGTCACCGTACGTCGAGCGGTTAAGATTTGTGCCCAACTGTTGACAGACGGACGCACGGACAATCATGCGATTCTACAAGCTGCATCTGACTTCGTCAGATGAGCTAAAAATTGCCAAAACCTTTTAAAATAGATGCTATTTTGATGTACCCGGGGGTTATCCACGCGCGAATTTCACTCGTTTAAACTGAATGATGTTACTCCACAAAATGCGAATATACCCAATATGTTTGCATATCATCCAGCAAGTATAAAGTAAATAAGGTCCATATAATTCAAACAGAAATGAGTAACCATGCTAAGGAAGCCTTTAAGACCGTAATTATCGACAGTCACAACGTAAATAGTCCAATGCGGTGCATAAAATCGTAATGATCATGCTGTTAAAATCTGAATTGCTAACCTCTGCACATTTACGAATAGATCACCTCGTTAATGACATGGCATTGGATGGCCGTCTGCTGTCAGTTAGTACGGACATTTAAACACCAACAGAAACTATTATTCTGCTAGTATGCAGTCAGTCTGATGAACTGGGTATTGAAGGCACACATATGCCCAGTACTGCTCAGCACAAATTTGGAAGATGGGCAGAAAAGAACAAAATCAGCAGCAGCGGCCATAACCATTTTGATTACCCCATAGCGCATATGTTAAAAAAAGGAAGGTAGGCTAGCCCCTAATCCTGAATGCGAGTTATAAACGTAAATGTAGTTCAACACATTGAACACAGCATTATGTATTACGTTATCAAATGGCAAAATACCATTTAAAACAGTAACTATGACGTGTATCATGTAAATCTAGAAGAGGGTTCCAACATCTTCATCACACTCCATTCTAGTAAACTGGAACTAAACACTATACTGTGACAAAGCGTAAAAGCTACTGTCATTTCCAAGGAGTTTAGCCTGGCTTCATTATTATATGGGGGTGACACAGACTTCTGTGCATGTTTATATGTTCCTCGATGCACAGATTATACGTGCGTTGACTTATTCAATTTTGTGGACGAGTTTGTACATTACTATACACAGTTCATTCGAAACTAAAATATTCTGAAATAATTGAGTGTTTCTGTGGCATGATTGCATTTATTCAATTGACTGGTTGAAAAGGTCCACCCGATGGAAAACACCTACCCTTCCTGGAAAACTCGCTACGGGCCTGATAAAGTGAAGATGACCAGTCAAGGCAATTTGGCTAATAATATGAAACAACAGGACTACTCCAACAAATGCTCGTTAATCCATGCAATCAAACATGAACGGGTTGAGATACGTGCCTCCGCTACCAGCCGTAGCAAGCGCTTGATCCTGTGCAGACAGACTATCGCCAGCGCCAGATGTCGGGAAGTATGCGAGCTTTGCTCCGTCACCAATTGCCTGAGCCTCCGAGCTTCCATTGCTAAACGGACTCTGTATCACAGCCTACGATGTTACAGTGTATGCTCATCAATTAAGTTTGCCCCCGTTAATTGAATTGAATTGAAATTGCAACACATTTGTTATAGGCCAAGGTCGACTGACACCAAATTAACCGAATATAGATGTAGACTATCTTTCAAAAATGTGACCCAGTGCCAACCTTTCTATTTATGGTTATATATACAAAAGACGACATCACTTTAAAAAATAATATGTACATGCTATTATTCCCATCTCACACATATGCACACATATATATGTACCTGCAATCCTTGTGTACCAGATGGAAAAGTTGATACAACTTCTCCAGTCCCATCAGCTGACACCTGTACAACCCGGTAAGTTATCTGAGCTGAAAATATTGATTCAGAGGTTACTACATAAATGCAATTAACAGTATTTAAAACTTAGAAGATAACACACATGTTCACATTAGTTACTTGTGAATGTATTTAACACATCAACTAATTTAATGTGGAAATGCATACTAAAGTTGAGGCAACACAGACTTCATGTATCTAAGATATCAGGCAGCAATAATAGTCAAAAGACTCAAAACCATTAAATACTTCGTGTCATGCATAATCATACTACAGGTCTTATGACAAAATAAACTCTAGTTCCTCCCATTTCACTGCGTGTTGTCTTATAAAAGGTATTTGAAAATACCTCCAATGTTGTTCAAATTCTCCGATGTTGTTGACACATTCGCATTGCTCTGCCAAGCAACCGTACAGCGGGTGCAACCCGTAGCAACATGTGACGTTAACTAACCGATTCGGGGCTAAATTGTTTGGCAAACATTCGGCATTGGCGTCAGATTGCCAGATTTCGCACCTCTTTCTTGTGGGGTTTAAGCAAATGCGCAGTGAAATGGGAGGAACTAGGGTTTATTTTGTCATAAGGTAGTGTGATTATGCATGACACGAAGTATTTGCTAGTCTAGTACTGGAGAAATTAGCGTTTGGATGCGCATATTGCGGCTTTAAGTTTTTGAAGGTGGAAATATAGGAAATATATTTCATAATTCTTTAAATCAAAAATAATTAATAAATGCAATGATTAATCAGGTTTCTAAATAATTGAACAAACAATATCGAAACCACTATTAATTACCTCCACTTCCATCCGGTCGTAACTGGTACTGGACAGTAGATGGATCAATTGTTATTCCTCCAGCATTGATGGTGGCTGTTTGCTCACCATCTGAACAAAGTGAGACAATTAGATTACCTTTGTCACTTCAAACATCATTTCCTATATAGCTGATATACTCCTGTACATTATTGTCACGTTTCCACACTTGTCAGCAAATGATATTACCAGAAATTGTGATTTTTGATCTTTAAAATCTTGTGAAGTATGGAGACAATAAACATGTTAATAACTTTTAAAGCTATTAGAACACAATCCTGTATAAAACCACTTCAATTAATTATGAAAATAATTTTATTTTCAAAAATACAGCCACGAACTTTAATAATGACCATGCTCAATGGAATCTCTAAATAAATCCAATCACATCTAAATAAATAAATTTGATAGCCAAATTATAATGCTAAAATAAGGTTGGTCCAAAAATCTTCAGATTGCTAACCTATACATGTCTTAATCTTTAAATGAGAGAAAATAATTTGGCAAAAATTCTCATTCATAGACTTTTCTAATATGACAGACAACACAGAATTACATTTGAATCTTAAAGTACGTAGATCAACAAGTGCCTCAGAGCAACATTGCTCGTCTGAATGCCTGTGACAGTGGCGGAGGAAGAAGTGGGGAGTTGAAAAGTCACTGACACACTTGAATTCGTTTAGCATTTCCGAAATGCAATAGAAATATGCCATAATACTAATAGAATTTTACATCCGAGCCATATTAGTGACACAGAAGGGGGAGGGGTTGTCTGGGGTACTTTCATAGATCTATATCAACATATTCCTAATGTTGCCAGCCAGCGATGGTATCGCCTTATTGTCTTTGCTTTAAATTATCCCCATCTCCTCAGTCAATTAGCAATCACATAACACAACATACTTCCTTATGTACTTTGTTACACATTAGTAGTGTAGTGACTAGTGATGTAATATAAAATGTTTTTATTGTGTGTAATGTTTTGTTTATATCAACAGCCATGCGTATTTTGCCTCGTGTGAACGCTGAATACCGGATTTCTTGCTACGTGTGAACAGGGCTTATGTTAATGATTGCAAAACAGGACACATGGTAGTTGCAATCTATGTGCCTCTACGGTTTTTTCAATAGAATCATGAAAACGGTAGGCCACTATCGAAACAAAAATGTTTTACACTCGGCCTGTCAGACTAAGTCTTCGAAAAATGTTGGAATTTTGTCAATTGATCCAATGACCTTTGACCTGGGACCTCCAATTTTGTCTAGGGGATGGTTTCTCTCACCCTAACTCTGTATGTACCAAACATCAGGCCATTCACATGTGTGTTGCAATTCTGCATTTCCTCAATGCTAGTTGTATTATATATATCTCAAGTTGAGGGGAGAATATTCCACCTCCCTTAAGTTAATGCCCCGTGTCCTTTGACATCAGATTCGACCTCCCAATGTTGTGTTGGATTACTGCCAACTCCTGAATTTCAACACCGTACACATCAAGTTGTTAGATTTGTGCTCATATTTCCAGCTGGCAGCCAGCCACTCATGCTATTCTACAAGCTGCATCTGACTTGACTATTTCAGATGAGCTAAAAATGGGGGGGGGGGATTCAATCAGTAACATTATTATTTGGTTAGTTGGGTTATAGTGAACACTGAACAGACTATTTTCGGACTATTCCAATCACATGCGACGACTACAGCATTAACACACATGCACCGATGCAACATAGAGCAACAACATATCAAACAAAGACAGAAATAATTAGACATACTAAGGTCCCACTGCCTAAATTAGCCTTCAGGATATGATGGAACACTAGTGTGTCCTGTGTGCGATCAGGGTAAAGTCAAATGAAATAAGTAGCAAGCATGTCATACCGTAATAGACGTTACCTTCTGCATGCAAGGTAATCTGTTCATCTTGCTCTCCCGAATCACTCGATTTATCCTGTGACCTGCAAATAGCAATGAGGACTGAATACACCTTTAATACATGAATACAAGTAAGTGACTCGAGAGATAATATGCAGTTGTCAGTAAATACCCAAAGTATCTATGGCACAAATTATAGTATAAACACTTGTGCATAACAATACATGTTGCTTCACACAATTAAAACGACATGTTCTCGCAGCAAAATGCATAGATATAAGTACTGTGAGTTCGTCCATGTTGTAAAAATTCCCTACAACTTATTTGTATTGCTACTTTCACAACATTTCTTCATAAAATCTAAACGAAAGTACTCATTTTACGAAAGCAGCACCACAGGATGTTTACACAGTGTTTACACATCCCATACACAGCCGAATAAACAAACCTTTCTCTGCTAGTATCCTGGGACTTACTATGTATCACAATACTCTGTATTAAACTAATACAAGAGCCGCAGAGCGTCTGGGCTCATCTGAGGTCTGTTGCTACGATTATAAACGTAAAATTTCAGTCGTGCGTAGTACCACATTTGTTAGGCGCAGATATGCAGACACGCAGTTGCGTACACATCATTGTTAGGACACGCCCACTATCGCAGATGGAGGGTAGGGGGAGGGGTGGGAAGGGGCGGGTGGGCAGGCGGTGGGGGAGGGGAAGGCGGAGAGGTGGGGGAAGGGCGGCTCTAATAGCAACAAGCAGTTCACTCTTTGTTACAGTCAACAATTCCATGTTTAACCCCTCCTCGTTGAGGGTCAAAAGGTGTTATCAGACACTTACTCTTCGCCACGTCAGTGGAAACACATTTCATGGTCCTTTCAATAAAGCCATAAAAATGGTGAGGTCCACCGCTCTGAACAAAAAAGTTTTTTCAATCGCTCGGTGTACCACATGTCCTCAGAAAATGTCTAAATATTCTGCCCTGTGGCCCCATTGACCTTTGACCTGTGACCTCCAAACTTCGCCCCACAGTGATGCTTTTCCTACCATGAATTGCCTATTACACCGACTATCACGAGCCGTTTAGATTTGTCTGCCGCAATTCTGCATTTCCTCCCGATACCTTAAGGTTAAGGAGGGGAATGTTCCCTCCTTCTTTTACACCTCTTGACCTTGACCTTTTGACCCCCAGCTATCGACATCCACAAGCTGCGTTTTCGATTTACCGAACCCCGTCCCTCCACGCTTCCCGAATATCGGACCGTACGCATCGAGCCGTTTAGACTGTTGTGCACCAACTGTTTGACGGCACGCACGGACGGACGGACGCACGGAACGGACCGATCCATGCGATTCCTACAAGCTGCATCTGACTAGTGTCAGATGAGCTAAATAACCTGTGTTACAAAAATTCGAAAGCCGACGAAGCGGTGGATAACTACTTCAGTATCGCTAAAGGTGGATTTGCATACCTGAGAGGCGTCTATGTACCCTGGCAGGTACTGCCGGAATGTCTACCCTGCCCGCTGGTACCCAGAGCATATAATTTTAAATCAGCAACGTAATTTATTAGCCCGACGCAGGCTGTGCGACAGATTGTCTATACAGGCCTGACACCTGTCCATACAAAAAACCTAATCACCTCGGCAGATCTAGATAAATAACTGTCTGTATATCCTCAAATAAAACTATTCTATGTACCTCACTTTGAACTTGCCTTTTTGTTAAATATGACTGGTTAACGCACAAGTTTCCTGCTTCTAACTAGAATGTATCTCTTAATTCACGGTATACATTGCTATTCTCACAGCATACACTTTCCAATCAGGCTTTACCCGCCATGTTACGCGAGGCCGGATAAACACGTAAACGGAAAGACTCGTTTAGAAAATATACTAACAGAATAGTTACAATAGCTGCACGCATGGCCTCTCACTGCGCAATTACAACACACAAACAACGGTGAAACGAGTCCGTGACCACAAATGTCTTGCCATTTGTAAAAAACCTTAGATTGACAGAGTTACTCGTGATGCTAGGGGTGGTTTAGCGATAGAACCGCACGATCGTTTAATTTTCCTTTTGTTCGATCCATTACGGATTTTAGTCACGACGTCGGGATATGATTAGCAAAAATGGCCGGGCGAATTTCATAAATTCTTAGTTGCATTCTTGTCTTCCTAAAAATCGCCGGCTGTCTAACCCCCGTAAGTATCCCAGCGCATCGGTAGCGCACAGTATTCTGGTGGAGACGTTATACTGATTCATTTGCGTATGTCACATGTGTATGTCTTGGGATACTTGGCAAATAAGGCAACTACATGTTTAGCTGCAGCCAAGGTTTGAAACGGTAGATTCTAACCTAGCAATACAGGCACATTGAAGCGTTGTCAACTGTAAACAGTACACGCCGCCGCCATTGCGTGCACAGGGCCGACACATAAATGTATCAGGTGAGAAAGCGCGACTGCGCAACGCGGATGTTAACTGAACCTTCGCCAGCTTTTAAACCATGGCGAAAGTTCGTTACCATCCCGGTGCGGCTTAGTGCTAAGCGAACGCGAGAATTTCGTCAGTCCTTGGTGAATTTTCGGCGTGACCACAGCTCGTACGAACAGAAATTATTGTTTTTTATAACAAGTTGAACACCTGTTCTTGGAAGGAGAAACAAAGATGGAAGCTGTTGAATTTGTAATTTGTGTTGAAAATCGTGAGGAATGCTAGCGAGGCCGTTGAGGCGAATTTTTGGGAGTCCTGCTCCGGCCGCTTTCTTACCTGCTGAATATTACACAGTGCTACTAATGCCGGCAGCCGGACGTCTTTCTGACGGCTGCGGCACGGTCTTCGATTTCCCTAAATGCCGGCCCGGCAGTTTTTAATTTTACGTTATCTCAAAGAAACAAGGGTTATGGGGGTTAGAGTTAGGATTAGGGTTAGGTTTTAAGGGCTATGAGTTAAGGGTTTTTGTTAGGTTTAGGGTTAGGGTTAGAGTTAGGGTTAAGAACTGCCGGGCATTTAGGAAAACGAAGACCGTGCCCGGCTGCCGGGCATATAGCCACAGCGTTTAGGAAAACGAAGACCGTGCCCGGCTGCCGGGCATATAGCCACAGCGATATATTTATGTGTCAGTGTGCGCGCAATGGCGGCGGCGTGTGTTTACAGTTGAAACGCTTCAAGTGCCTGTGCTAGCAATACCGTTTCTTGGAGCTACGTGATTTATATGCTCTGCTGGTATACATACCTATCTAATACAGAGTGGCTATATGCCCGGCAGCCGGCATATATGTGACGGCTGCCGGGCACGGTCTTCGATTTCCTAAATGCCCGGCAGTTTTTAATTTTTAGTGTTATCTCAAGTAAACAAGGGTTAGGGTTAGAGTTAGGATTAGGTTTAGGGTTCGGGTTAGGGTTAGAGTTAGGGTTTTTGTTAGGGTTAGGGTTATGGTTAGAGTTAGGGTTAGGAACTGGGCATTTAGGAAAACGAAGACCGTGCCCGGCTGCCGGGCATATAGCCACAGCGTATCTAATATGCCGGACCGTACCTCGCCTACTTCACTAACGAGTCTAGGGAGTCGCCTACGCCTACTCCCTAACCCTAACCATATATCAGATAGTTACCAGGGTACCGTTCCGGCAGTACCCTGACTCCTGAGGGACATAGACCCTATGAGTATGAGCGCCAACTGCTGGTAATTCTTTGGATTACAGTTTACACCATGCCGCACCACAGTACTAGAGCGAATAAATATTTTGTAGTGTTAACCGTTATTGTTGACCCTTCGTTTCTAACGTGAACTAGGATTTACTACTTTCACTTCTTTGCTTTAGTTTAAAATTCGCGCTCGGAACTTTGTTGTAAATTGTAAGACAGTCCCAGTCTACTTTTTCGCTGGCGACAGCACCGAGATGACGGGCATCCACATAGATACAGTGCTACTTACACTCACACACAGTAAAGCCACGATAATTAAATATTATTTACATAGTTCGCCTATAACTTATAAGGTTTCCCACAATAAAGTAATCTAAACTTACCCAGCGTCTAGAGTTGACTCTAGCATGTCCATATCACGTGTGCAGTGATCACGGGGCCAAACAAATGGTCATGTGAGAGAGAAAATGAACATGTGACACAAAGATGGCGATGTCGTCTTCTTCGATTACTAGCCTAGGCGTATGTATACATCAAAATTAATGCCAATATACAAACTACAACGTGCAAAATAAGCCTGTCTTTGCTAAGTGATATATAAATACCGTACTGTTACATTTTACACATTTATATAAAAATAACAATATTTGTTTGGACGATATATTTATGTATATCTCGAACTATATGTTGTGGAGATTTACACTAGTGTTTAGGTTGCCGCCATACCGCATATAGCATCATTACGTCATCGTGTACAAACGTGCGCAGGAGCTTTCATTCTACTGCTTTCGATTGTGTATCGCTCGTACAATAAAAGCGTACAAAAATGTACAAATAAATTGAAGAGCTTTTGTATAATCGTTTAATTTTCATATATTAGCACTGTCATCCGCAGCATTCGCGTTACACATTAAAAACTAAAACTAAAACATAATATTATATAATATCAGGAGTAGATAATAGGGAATTCCCTAGCTATTATCTACTCTTGATAATATCGATCATGCATGGGGATCTCATGTATGCCTTCCAGATCGATCGCCACGATCACAATATAGATGGTTTTAATATGCATGTTTTAGTTTCATATATATCAGGAGTAGATAAAGGGAACTCCCCGTAGATAAGGAACATAGAGAAGGGGGGAGTAGATAAAGATTCCCTTTATCTACTCCTGATATATATATTATGTGTGTGCGTGTGCGTGTGCGTGTGCGTGTGCGTGTGTGTGTGTGTGAATGCGCGGGTGTGTCCATCTATAGAGACATGCTAACTAACACTGCATGCGGTTGCTAAAAATTTCATCATGCAGTGGAATTAGTATCATGCAGTTGGATGTTTACGTACACTTACATTTATGTACGTGCGTGCGGGCGTGCGCTGGTGTGTACAAGCGCACGTGCGTCCAAATATTGTTTGGTGGGTTGTCGAAATGCCATAAAAGATTGCTAGTTAGTCAACTATTTCCTGATATCGGGTGACGTGATTCCGCCTACCGCACACTCGCGGAACAAAGTCGCAACATGAAATTCTAGGAATTCATTTAATTAGAGATGCTACACATATATATATATTTATTTAAAATGAGTTATTGAAAAATTTAAAAACACATCAGGCAAATATAATTTATGAGAAAGCTTTTCACTGAAACCCAACTGCAACCGCGCATGACGTACGTGAATGGATTGTCGTCTAGAAACAAATCGGGCAACGTCAGCGTTAATTTAGCTTAAATATTATGGCAAACGTTTGAAGGTATTATGTAACTTCGTAAATCAACTTTGATCATTTGCGCCACCTGTGAGCGAGATATCAACGTGAGTTATTAAGCCCGGCTCACACGTGAGTAATTTGACTCAAGTGAAATGATGCATGCGTTAAAATACTCAACGAAAATCCGCCGCACACGTGAGTATTTTGACGCATGCATAATTTTACTTAAGTAAAATGCGGAATATGCACCACCTCCCCATTACTACTGCTCCGTTGCAATAACGGATGCAAAAAGTGTCTACGGCAGGGACAGAACCAGGATTTCCTAATGGCAAGGTAATAAGGGCAAGGCAATAGGGGCAAGGTAGGGGGTAAAGGGGGTAAATAGTTTATTTTGCAAAAAGTTTGTGCGTGGGAGGGTGAGTGTAGAGCCTCAGTACACTCACGTACACATACACGCACAGTCGCATTACCCTTATATTTATAGTTTTATAGCTGTAATAACTTCATAAAACAAAAAATGGAATAACACACCGGGAAAGTAATTTAGCTTTTAAAACTAACGGAATTGGTAAAAATGACATTGAAAGAACCTAATATAAGTGTTCAGTGTATCTTTAATTAAAATTTTAAAGAATTTTTATATGAATCTAATAAAATTAATGTAGTGCAGTTCAAAATAACGTAAATAAATTTGTGTAGCCATTCAAGCACCATTGATTACTGGTCTAAATAATTGTTATTGAAACTAATAATTACGCTTTACTGCAACGAATTTGTACATCCTTCTGGCGTCGCGTCGCGCAAATTCTTTCACAATAATCTCGTAGTTTAAAGAAATATCTTTGTCACTTTGTGTCTAGAGTATATGATCGAGAGCTAATGATATATTATGTTCATGCCCAACCGTACAAGTACGTAGGAAAGAAAGAACCCAATATCAAATGAGCCTGTAGCGCCATCTAACGAGGGCAATCTTCAGTCAGACAGTCGGGTTAGTCAGTCATGGGGTCTGAGTGTGTTTTTAGCTCACCTTGACATCGTCAAGCTGAGCTATTGCCATGGGTCGTCGTCCGTCGTACGTCCGTCCGTCCGTCCGTCCGTCCGTCCGTCCGTCAACACTTGGCTACGGTCAACGATAACTCAGGAACCGTTTGACCCACATCTTTGAAATTGGGTATAGTTGTTACTGCTATGCTCCCATATTAAGCGTCCTATTTTGGAGCACGCCAGTCGACGTACTTTCGAGCCACGGCAATTTTTTGGCAAAAATGGGAATTGCCATTAGTCAGTTCAGGTTTAACGGATTTTGCTCATTTTTGGTATGTGAATGAATAAGGGCTAGGGTTTTAATATTTAACATTTTTTTAATGCAAATTAGGTAGGGTTTGGCAATTATATAGCATATTATATAGACACGTAGTTAACAAACAGTCTGTGGTGTCACACTCGTCTGGTTCGTTTTACAATATTTCATTGACAATATCTTTAATGCAAAATTCCTGCTATAAACATATTATGATTTATACTATTATTATTATATTATTATTATGGATATAATGATTTCTGCCCTAAGAAACATCAAAGCGGGATAGCGCCATCTACCGTCACAAATGTGATTCATTTTGGTTTATAAATTATTTATAATTTTATATATAATATTATTTATTATTTTCACATAAAAAATTACACATAATTATCAAGAGTATATAATGGGAGTTCTCCCATATATACACTTCGTTTCTTTAATGTACGTCGATGGTTGCTCAATTAAAACTGACTTCTTCTCACTCACTCATTTGTGTCCTTTTTTTGTGGTGAGCTTTCATTATATATCTATGCATGGTGTGAGGGAGTGTGTGTGTGACTGTGTGAGTGTGTGTGTGTGTGTGTGTGTGTGTGTGTGTGTGTGTGTGTGTGTGTGTGTGTGTGTGTGTGTGTGTGTGTGTGTGTGTGTGTGTGTGTGTGTGTGTGTGTGGGGGGTGGTGTGTGTGTGTGTGTGTGTGTGAATGAGTGAGTAAGTGAGTGAGTGGGGGAGTGTGTGAGTGTGTGAGTGCGTGAGTGAGTGATCGAGTGAGTGAGTGAGTGAGTGAGTGAGTGAGTGAGTGAGTGAGTGAGTGATCGAGTGAGTGGGGGAGTGAGGGAGCAAGAGAGTGGATGATCGAATGAGTGAGTGAATGAGTGAGTAAAAACTTTATTTAACGATGGAAAACGTGTTAGGTGCACACTGGCGCAGACAACAAATTGGAAAGTACAAATTTCAAGCCTAACGCCTAATTTCTGATAAATATGCCAAAAAACTCATACAGCGCGTTTAGGGCCCCCACAATAGTCTAAGATAATAGTTTGTTGACAATAAAACAAAGGTTACATGAATATATAGCATGTATAAATGCACATTAGTAGAATGTAGTAACTATATCTATTCGTGTTCTCCTGATAATTGAATACATAACTTTTAAGTAGATATAGTCAGCCATACACGAGCGCCCTAGCTTTTATTGGTTGCCATGCGTCGCGATGTCACTTTAAATTGGGAAATTCCCACTTTTTTGTGCCATGCACAATTTTATGTGTACCTGTTGCAGGGGTAGAAATTAACTTTTGAACACGGGAGTCCAACGGACTGCCTACACTCAAAAAGAGGGAGTTTGCAGCAAAATGAGGGAGTCCGCAGTCTGAGGTTCAAAATTAAAGATATTAACAATAACGCATGTGCTTATTTTTAAGATTCATGCGGTTGCACGTCTGTCAAATTTTCTTTGGATATTAGCTGAAAAAATACGGTATTGCCACAAGGCCGTGCTCTGGAACGAACTAGGTAGTAGGTAGTATGGCAGAATTTTCAGAGAGTTACACGGACTCCTGCATATGTCAAATCAGTGAGTTCGACAGTAAATCTGGGCGTATTTGACTCCGGACTCCCGTTAATTTCGCACCCTAATGTTGTTACGTTACTTTCACAGCTATCTCAGATAGTAGGCCTACTATAGCCCTCTTTTGCTGTGCCTGTCACTGAGAGCTGTAGTACGAGAGAAATAGCTCCGTGATTCGAATAGATATAGCGTGCGCGCAACTGCGCAACTGTTGTGACGCGCGTACGTGAGTGAGCAGCTTGATGCAAATGGCAGGAACTTAGAGTCATTTGGAGCTTGGTAAAGGAATGGGCGTGCAAGTTCTCTATTACCAGGAGTGTCGTAATATATAGACTTGCAGGCGGACTCTCAGTAAGGTCTAGTAAACGAACTTTGCGCAATCGATTTATATAGGACTATGTTTTAACTTTTAGTATGGTTTTAGGCCACATCTCAGAGTCCAAACTCTACGACAGATGGCGCTCTCGCTCTGGCTTGGCTAGGGGCTTGGCTAGGGTCCCTCGCACACGTCCCTCGGCTTGGCACTTTGGCCTCTGCTTTGGCACCCTGAGTTGTACGAAGGGGGCGCTGCATGCAGTTTGCTCAGAGCCCTGTGCCCTGACCATCTTTGCTGACCATAGCCCTCACCAGACCCACCCTGACTGACTTGGTTGGTGTTCGAGTGACTCGAGTCACTGTATCCGACTATCAGTGTATGAAGACTAGCTGAAACTCTGCACGGACATTACTTCGCTCAGTGTATCCGGTATGGGAACATAGATATATTTACCAAGAGTCCTTTTTAGAGACTCTATTATGGACTCTTGACATTGTTGTTGTTGTTATTCGTTTGACATCTATATGCTAGCTAGCTCTAGTACTATAGCCGGCTTACATTAACTGCCGCTGGCCAGCGGCAGTTAATGTAAGCGGGCTATAGTACTAGAGCTATATGCTATACGTTACACGCCAACGTATAGTGTTAAGCGAGAAGGGAACTTGTGGCTAGTAGTACTAGTAGTTTAGCAGATGGGGTCGTTGTCGCATCAGGTACTACAGTATAGATATGTACCCGAGGTAGTTTTAGGTTGTTTAGTATTATGTTTATATTTTTATATGAGGTATGTTTAGGGTTTAGAGTTAGGGTTAAAGTTAGGGTTATAGGGTTAGGGTCAAACTCCACGACAGATGGCGCTCTCGCTCATGGGCTCAATCTACCACTGCCAGTGCCACAAGTAGATTTCGGTTACAATTTGTAACGCTTTTTAGCTCATCTGACATAGTCATTTGCAGCTTGTAGAATCGCATGATCGTCCGTGCGTGCGTCCGGCCGTGCGTCCGTCAACAGTTGGGCACAAATCTTAACCGCTCGACGTACGGTCACGATATTCGGGACGTTGGGGGGATCGTCAAAACGAGTTGGGATGTCAAAGCTGGGGATCAAAGGTTAAAGGTCAAGAGGTGTAAAAGAAGGGGGAACATTCCTTCCTTAACTTAAGATATAGGGATGAAATGCAGAATTGCGGCACAAATCTAAACGGCTCGACCTAGGCTCGTGATAGTCGGTGTATAGCATCATGGTAGGAAAAGCCATCACTGTGCCAAAATTGGAGGTCACAGGTCAAAGGTCAATGGGGCACAGGGCAGATTTTAGACATTTTCTGAGGACATGGTCTGACGGAACGATTGAAAAACTTTTTTGTTTCAGCGGTAACCTAGCATTTTTATGGCTTTATTGAAATGACCATGAAATGTACTTTCTGCTGACATGCGAAGAGTAAGTGTCAGATAACCTTTTAACCCTCAAGAGGAGCCCTGGTTAAACATGGATTTGTTGACTGTTAACAAAAGACTGAAATGCTTTTGCTCTTGTGGATGTGAGGCTACAGTTTCACAGTTCAAATTCCAAGGCAAATGTTTGTTGAACAAGGTTTACGCTCCTTAAATCATATTATTTTCTAAAGCAGTCTGTATTAGCACCCTGAGTAGCACCCTGTAATAGCACACTGTAATGAACCCTGAATGCTCGCGTGTGTAGGCAAAAACATAGGGGCAGCCCATTACGCATGCATGGGGGTGAACTGGCACTATTCTAATCATAATTATTGCCTGGCAACCTGCAATGCAGATGTGTTAACTCACAGCTGAGCGAAATTCTCGCCTGCCTGAATATACTTGGATTTCAGCAACTCAATGGAGTGAGGTTATCAC